ATCTAGCAATGATTGAGTGTTTGTGTATATTGTTTTGTCCTTGTTTTACAGATGAGAAAACTGAGACTAAGATCACTATCCCAGGGAGGGGGTGGTGGTGGTGGGAGGATTGAACAAAAAAAGAGAAAACTCATGGACATGGACAATAGTGTGGGGATTGTGGGAGATGTAGGGGGATAAATGGTGATGAGGACTTTTTTTTTTTTTTGATATTTTGTTCAGATAGAGTGGGAGGAAGAGAGAGAGAGAGAGAGAGAAACATTGATGTGAAAGGGACGCATCGAGTGGTTGCCACCCACATGACTCAGCCAGGGCCGGGGACAAACTGCAACTGAGGTACGTGCCCTTAGCAGGATTCAAACCTGAGTCTCTCGGGACTGCAGGCTGACACTCTAACCACTGAGCGAAACCAGCCAGGGCCAGCTTTTTGTTTCATTGATCTTTTGTATATTTTTAAGTCTCCATGTCATTTATTTCCACTCTGATCTTTATTATTTTCTTCCTTCTACTTCTTCTTTTTTTGTTCTCTTTCTAATTCTTAAATTGTAAGATTAGTCTGTTATAAATTTTTCTTGTTTCTTGAGGTAGGCTTGTAATGCTGTGAACTTCCCTCTCAGGATGCTTTTGCTATATCCCATAGATTTTGTGTTGTGTGTTCATTTTAATTAGTTTCTAGGAAGTATTTGATTTCTTTCTGATCTCATGGGTAACTCAATGTTTAATAACATGCTATTTAGCATCCGTATGTTTGAATGTTTTTTGTGTGTTTTAATGGTAATTTATTTCTAATTTCATGTCATTATTATCCAAAAAGATGCTTGATACAATTTCAGGCTTCTTGAACTTGTAGAGACTTACTTTGTGTCCTAACATGTGGTCTATCATTGAGAATGTCCCATGTGTACTTGAGAAGAATGTATTTTCTGCTACTTTGGGGCAAAATATTCTGTAAATATCAATTAAATTCATCTGATTTAGTGCATTATTTTAGGTTTCTGTTTCATTGTTAATTTTAAGATATATCCAGTGATTTCAATGGATTGTTAAAGTCTCCTACTATGATTGTATTGCTGTCAATCTTGAAATCCTTCAGAAGTTTTTAAATATATTTTGGTGCTTCTGCATTGGATGCATATATGTTTACCAGGGTTATATATCCTCTGTTGGATCAATCTTTTTAATATTATTTAGTGATCTTTTTTGTCTCTTATTATCACCTTCATTTTGAAGTCTATTTGATCAGATATGAGTATTGCTACCCTGCTTTTTTTCTTTCATTTCTATTTGCATGGAAAACTTTTTTTCATTCCTTCACTTTAACACTGTGTGAGTCGTTTGTTCTGAGGTAGGTCTCTTGAGGATACCATATATATGAGTCATGTTTTCTTATCCATTCAGCTACCCTATGCCTTTGGAGCATTTAAGCCATTTATATTTAAGGTTAATTTTAACAGGTACTTATTTGTTGCCATTTTTATTCTTTATGCCTGTGTTCTCTCTCTTTATTTCTTCTCTTTAGAACAGTCCCTTTCGCATTTCTTGCAGTGCTGGTAGTTAATTCCTTTAGCTTTTTCTGTCTGTGAAACTTTATTTCACCTTCAGTTTTGAATGATAGCCTTCCTGGATAGAGTATTCTTGGACTCAGTTCCTTGTTTTTCATTACTTTGTATACTTCATGCCACTCCCTTCTGGCCTGCAGTGTTTTATTGAGAAACCATCTGATAGTCTAATGGGAGCTCCCTTGTGGGTAACTTTCTGTCTCTCTCTTGCTGTCTATACGATTCTTGCTATCTTTAATGTTTGCCATTTTAATTATAATATATCTACATGTGGATCTTTTTGGGTTCATCTTGATTGGAACTCTCTGTTTCCTATACCTGTGTCACTTTTTCCTCTACCAGGTTAGGGAAGTTTTCTGTCATTATTTCTTCACACAGGTTCTCTATTCCTTTCTCTGATTCGTCTCCATACACTCCTATGGTGTGAATGTAGTTAATGTTCATGTTGTCCCAAACCTCCCTTGAACTCTCCTGCTTTTTAATTTTTTTCCATTTGCTGCTTTAATTTTTTTTTTTTCCCTACCTTCTCTTCTAACTTGCTGATTTGGTCTTCAGCTTCTTCTAATCTACTATTGAAATCTTTAGGATATTTTTTATTTCAGCTATGTCATTCTTCATTTCCACTTGATTTTTATTCATAGTTTCTACCTCTTTTCATGCTGATGTAGTTCCCACTGAGTTCTTTATAATTCTATTGAGTTGCTTGTAATTCTCATTAAGTTGTTTGAGCACCCTTATAACCATTACTTTGAAATCTTAATCTGATTAACTGCCTGACTCTACTTCATTTAGTTCTTTTTCTGGAGATTTCTCCTTTTATACTGGTGTTTGTTTCTTTGTCTTACCATTTTGTCAGTCCAGTCAGTAGTCCGGGGCCAGGTGGGGCAGGCCAGGTGGCAGGAGCAGGTTGGTGCTTCCAGGGTTGTGGGGTTGTGGCAGGTTGTGAGGGCTGGATCTCAGAATCCAGTCCACTTGTACGGGGGAGCTAGCTGCTCTCAGCAGTGGCAGGTTGGGTGGGACAGCGGCGCTCTGCTGTGGGTGGGCCTGCAGTGCTGGCAGCTGGCTGCTGCCCAGGGCTGGCGGCAGCGGTGCTGGTGGGAGGGCAACTCTGTTGTGGGGGTTGGGGGCTGGAGTGCCGACAGCTTTCAGCGGCAATGGGGCAGGCAGACCTCTGCTGCTGGTGGGTCCCATGGGAGCTGCTGGGGCCCTCTGCTCCCAAAAGAGAGGCTGTGGCGCTGGACACACCTCTCTGTGGCCTCCGGGCACTGGGCCTCTGGGGTTTCCTACAGCCCCCTCCCACGGGGGACCCTCCCAAATGGCATGCTCTCTGAGCCTGAGTAGGAAGAAGTGCCTGGCTGGGGAGCGTGCCTCTGCAGCCTGCAGCCCCCTCTGTCTGGAGCGCCCAAATTGCCCACCCTGGGATCCCCCAGGAATAGACAGATGCCCACCCACACTTGTACCCACGCGCACTCTGCCACACATGCTCACCTGCCTACACTCTTACCCTTACTTCGCCACGTTCTCTTACCCTTACTTCGCCACGTTCTCTCACCCTAAATCTCCTTTTTCATTATCTCCATAACTTTTATTTGAGACAGGAAGGAAATGGTTTATACTGTACAGATGTCTTATATTTTATACATTCTAAGCAGCTGCTATGATCGAGTTTGAAGTATCAATGTATTAATTTTTTTTTAAATCCTCACCCAAGGACATGCTTAGAGAGAGGAAGGGAGAGAGAGCCTGGAGAGAGAAAGAGAAAGAGACAGAGAGAGAGAGAGAGAGAGAGAGAGAGAGAGAGAGAGATCAATTAGTTACGTTCTGCACATGTCCTGACCAGGGATTGAATCCATAACCCAGATATGTGCCCTGACCGGGATTCAAATCTTTTGGTGTGCAGTACAACACTAAACCAACGGAGCCACTCCAGCCAGGCAAATTTCTTTCTTTCTTTCTTTTTTAATTAATTTTTTTGTATTTTTATATATTTTTTTGTCTTTTTATATATTTTTAATTTTTTTAGTTGATTTGAGAGAGAGAGGTAGGTAGGAAAAAGAGAGAAAAGAGACGAGAAGAGAAACATTGATTTGTTATTCCACTTATTTATGCATTTATTGGTTATTGCTTGTATTTTCTCTGACCAGGATTGAACCCACAGCCTTGGTTTATGAGCATGATGCTCTAACCAACTGAACTGTCTGGCCAGGGCTATGTATTAATTTCTTATGGCTGATGTAACAAATTACAGTTGCTTAAAAAAAAACAGAAGTTTATTATCTCACAGTTCTAAAGGCTCAACATCTAAAATTAGTATAACTGGGCTGAAATTAAGGTGTTGGCAGGACTGTGCATCTTCTGGAGGCTCTAGGGAAGAATTTGTTCCTTGCTTTTTCTAGCTTCTGGCGGCTGCCAGTGTTATTTGGTTTGTGGCTTGGTCACTGTAATCTGTGTGTGGCCACATTACTTTCTCAGCTGTCTGCGTCAAATCCCCTGCCCTCTTATAATGAACCTGCGATTATATTTAGGTCCCACCAGATAACCCAGGATACTCTCCCCTTCTCAGACTCATTAATCATATCTATCATATCTGCAAAGTCTTTTTTGCCATATAAAGTAATGCTCAAAAGATTCAGGTATTAGGATGTGTGTGTCTTTTTAGGGAGTTATTGTTTAGCCTATCTTATCCATATGTTTTTTGGGTTTTTTTTGGTTTGTTTTGTTTTTTTCTCATCTCTTTTCTTCTTTCCTAATTTTATTCTTTTCCTTTTCCAGAAGCACATAGTGGCAAGTAGATTGTGTGGGTATAATCTGAAGTTGTGAACAAGAGTTGAGTTTATATAGTCTAGCTCACTGAGTGAGCATTATTGTTCTCACTATATTAATTTATGAATTATATTGTTGTCATTGAATTTGTTGACAGTAGTGGCAACTGTGTTAAGTTTAGCACCCTTTATCAAAGTAATTATTGAATCTTTGGGTAAAGTGCGAGTTAACATGAAATTTCTTTCTGTAGTCAGGCACTGATAATGTCATTGAGAAAATAGCTAAATAACTACTAGCATTGTTTCAAAACTAGTTTTCATTTAAGGAAATTTTTTCCACATTTACATTTTGTTACAGTGGTAGCTCAGACTTGAATTTAATGAAGGTAAACAGAAGAGTTGGAAGAGTTCTGATCCAGAAGTCCATTGTCAAGAGACCTTTGTCGTTTGGGGCATAACACATAATTGCTGTTTCTTAATATTTATACTGAAGGAGTTGAATTATATGACTGCTAATATCCCTTTTAACTTGAAAAACCTCTGTCTGGTATTTAGCATAATGTATTTAAAAACCAACAAACAACAGATACAGTATTACTTATTTTGTGCTATTAGGAAAAGAACTCATATTGGCAGGATTATTTTGAATTAACTGTTTGTACTTTTTGTTTTTCTGTAGATGGACCACACATCCCCGACCTACATGCTAGCTAACTTAACCCACTTACATTCTGAACAACTTCTGCAGGGTCTAAATCTTCTTCGTCAACATCACGAACTCTGTGACATTATTCTTCGAGTAGGTGATGTTAAAATCCATGCTCACAAAGTGGTACTTGCCAGCATCAGCCCATATTTCAAAGCTATGTTCACTGGAAACCTTTCTGAAAAAGAAAACAGTGAGGTTGAGTTTCAGTGCGTTGATGAAACCGCTTTCCAGGCCATTGTGGACTATGCCTACACAGGGACTATTTTTATTTCACAAGACACAGTTGAATCTCTCCTTCCAGCAGCAAACCTACTCCAGATAAAACTCGTCCTGAAAGAATGTTGTGCATTTCTTGAAAGCCAACTTGATCCTGGTAATTGTATTGGAATTTCTCGTTTTGCAGAGACATATGGTTGTCATGACCTTTATTTGGCAGCCACTAAATACATATGCCAGAATTTTGAAGCTGTTTGCCAGACTGAAGAGTTTTTTGAGCTGACACATGCTGACTTGGATGAAATTGTTTCCAATGACTGTTTGAATGTAGCTACTGAAGAGACTGTTTTTTATGCACTTGAGTCTTGGATCAATTACGATGTACAAGAACGCCAGAAATACTTAGCACAGCTACTTAACAGTGTGCGATTACCATTGCTAAGTGTTAAGTTTCTCACTAGACTGTATGAAGCAAATCATCTTATTCGTGATGATCGCACTTGTAAACATCTTTTGAATGAAGCACTAAAGTACCATTTTATGCCTGAGCATAGACTCTCTCATCAGACAGTCTTGATGACACGACCTCGCTGTGCTCCCAAAGTACTTTGTGCAGTAGGAGGAAAATCTGGACTGTTTGCCTGTTTGGATAGGTAAATAGAAGGATTGATGTTAATAGATTTTACACTTTTTAAATGTGCTTTCTATATTTTTAAAATTGTTTGAATTTTACTATTTTTTAAATTTGATTCTTTTTGTTGTTTTTTTCTTTTCTTCTTCCTAAACACTTATCTAGTTGTTTTAATGACATTGTTATTTATTCTCTGCAATACTCTCAATTATTAACACCTGCACAAACTTCATTTCTTCTGATTACTAAGTTTTCTTCTATTTTATGTCTTTTTTTTCTTTGTGAAACCATTTTCATCTTTATTTGTGTCAAACTAGGTCAGAGGGCTTTATTTTTGCCAGCTATATCAGAAGATGCTAAAGAGGAGAGCTAGGAATCTGTGATGAGGGCAACTTGGGGAAAAGACTGGGTTTGAATGAATTCCGTTACTTAGAAGAACGACCAAAGAAATAAGAAAAAGTAGGATGGTGATACAAATCATGGACTTTGTGTGCAATTTATTTTCTTCATTGTAAATTTTTTTAATGACGGTAGCAAAAAGTGCTTTCTTTTCTAGTAATTTGGAGTTGTCAGACTATTTCTGTGAACATCCAAATAATAAATATTTTAGACTTTAGGGCCATATGGTCAGTCATAACTACTCAACCGTGCCATGTGTAAGAGAAGTCATAGACAGTACATAAATGAATGAGCATAGCTGAGTTCCAATAAAACTTTATTTACAAAAGTAGCTGGGGGGCTAAATTTGACCCATAGCTGTAGTTTGCCAATCCCTGATTTAGAGCATTATTATACAAATAACTAAAACATAACTGGGTGTTACCTTTGCTTTTCCCTTAAATGAGATTGCTTCATGAAAACTTTTATGTTTGATACATTTCTTTAATACTGTGGATTCCCTTCTGGTCATTTCCAAAAATTTGGTAGATTGCTTTCCTTGCCTCAATGGTAGGAAACTATTGATGTTTTATAAATGTCAACTGATATATGCTGTATCTTTTTAAAAAGCCTCAGTGTACATCTTAATTGTAACCCAAAACTAGTATTGTTGAAATTGGGCTACAGTTAAAACATAAGTTATGGTGACTATGTGAATTGTTCACTGTTCTTTTTTTTTTTTTTTAATCTTCACCTGATATGTTTATTGATTTTTTTTTTTTTTTTTAGAGAGAGAATAATTGATCAGTTGTCTCCCATATCCACCCCAACCAGGGTCTAGACCCTCAACCTAGCTATTTGCCTTGACCTGAAATCAAACCTGTGACCATTCTGTGAAGCGCCAACCAGCTGAGCCACACCAGCCAAGGCTGTTAACTCTTTGTAAGGGCATTGATTATTGGCATGAAGTACATTCATCAGTCAGATGTCATAATACTAAATTCCAAATACAAATTTACATTGTAAAAATTCTTGGACAGTTTTCTCTTGGTCTCTTGAGTATTAACAATAAATTATTGAAGAATTATAAGAACTGTTGATGTTTTTAGAGCCAATAATCTTTCATCTTGGAATCTATCATAAGAAAAAAAAATTTTCCCTGGCCAGTTTGGCTCAGCAGTTGGAGCCTTGGCCTGCGGACCAGAGAGTCCTGGGTTCAGTTCCCGTTAGCAGCACATACAAAAAAAAGAAAAAGAAAGAAAGAAAGAAAATTTAAATATTTGCACAAAGCTTTTTATTGCAGTTATTTATAACTATGATAAAATTAGAATCAGTCTGAATAAATATTTAGTTTAATTCTACAAAACGTATTAAACACCTGTGCATCAAATATTGTGCTTGGTAATGGATCTTTCACAAGTTCGTAATTTAGTAAAGAGGATAAATGTTTAAATAGATAATTGTAATGCATAGTTTTAGTACAGAGATAAAGATAATTCTATGAAAGTATTAAGGAGAGGCATTTATCCCATTTGGGGGATTTAGGGAAGATATGGAAAAGTTAATGTCCAAGTTGAGTATTAAAGGCTAAGCAAGAGCCAAGCAAAAAACAGTGGGATGGTCACAGGAAATGCACAAAGACACAGTAGCAAGTTACAGTAGTTACAGTATAGGCTATGCAGGAAATAAAAAGCTGTTTGGTATTCCAAAGTATAAAATTTTAACCAGCAAATAGTAGGCCGTGGTCAATAAAGACCAAGTCAAAAAAGGTATTGTGTTCTATGATGAAGAGATGATATTTGTTACGTGGGTTGAAAAATAATTTTAAGGAGGATAGTAAAATGATCATATTTGTGTATTAGATCATTATTGACTCTGTTATAGAGAAATACCAAGGGGGCCAGGGAAGTGATTAGGAAAGAGGTTATTGTAAAAGTACAGGCAGGAGATTATGAGGTCCTAAATTAGGGTGGTAGTAGTAAAGACAGAGAATGGGGCATTCATGTAAGAAATATTTTTTTTTTTTTATCCTCACTCGAGGACATTTTTGCATTTATCTTCAGATAGAGCGGGAGGGAGAGAGGGGGAAAGAGAAAGAGAGAAACATCAACATGAGAGAGACACATCGACTGGTTGCCACCTACATGACCCCAACTGGGGCCGGGGACAAACTGCAACCGAGGTACATGCTCTTAGCTGGAACCGAACCCGGGTCTCTCTGGTTTGCGGGCTGATGCTATAATCGCTGAGCCAAACCGGCCAGGACTCTTGCAAGCTTATTTATTTGAGTACACCCACTGCAACCATTCTTTGTTCCCTTCAAGATTTTGACGCTTTGGCCTTCTAATCAGGTAGTAAAACTTATTGCTCACTGACCACCACATGTCCTCACTCTATCTTTCATTCTTATTTTTTTACTTTAAATAGTCCCTATTTATTTTGTTTAATTTTTGTTGTTGAGAAAATTACAGATGTCCTCCCTATTTCCTCCATTGAACCCCTCCTTCCCGCTCCCACCGCCTTTCTGCTTTTTCCAAACTGTTGTCTGTGTCCATTGGTTATGCATATATGCATATAAGTTCTTTCTTTGGCTTAGCTCTTCCCAACCCCCACACCTCTTCATGTCCTCATTCTTTATCCAGCTTAGATTCCAGGGACAGCAGTGTCATCACTACTTTGAATATACCCATGGCTCCCTTTACCCATCTTTTCTTCCATCACACTCATCTAAATTCAGTTCTCTCCTTAACGCCATACTGCATCTGAGCAACAGAACGTGGCTAGGGAAACACACATTCACCTTAACTGGTCTCACTTGGGGTTTTCAGTATTCCCTGTCACCCCTTTGCCTTTCTCTAATTAACGTACTCTTTCACTTCCTTGGAGGACTGTTTCACACCTATTATCTCCATAAAAACATCCAAAGTCACCTTACATCTCTCACCTGATGACCATGTCTCTTACTTGACTGAGAAAACAGTAGCAGTCTGAAGAGAACCCTTTCATCTTCCCCTCACCAAATCTACCAAGTTACTTCTAAAACCAGCCCCTTCACTTCTCCATTTATTCACCAGCCTCCATTCCCTCTCTGCACAAGGACTTTGCTTGTGCAAATGTCCTGTCACTCTCCTACATTATCACCTTCTCCCACTCTACTCCGTCACGGCCAGCAGCATACAAAAATGTCTGGTTTAAGCTCCCAGATTAAATTGGTCTACCTTTCACTCTGTGATTTTTCTGTGCTCATCATTATAGCTGCTTCTTGGGAAAAAAGTCTACAACCTCTGTTTTCCTCATCTCCCATTCTTTCCTGAACCACTCCAGTCAATACTTGTCCCCACCACCTCACTGAAACTGCTCTCCTTAGAGATCAAATAGTTCCCTGATATATCATTCTCATTGGAACAAATTCACATTTGTAAAACAAGCAATATAATAAAACTGCATTTGGTTATTTAATAACTCTAAGTAAATGGATGTACTTTGATCATACTGGATAGAGAAAAAAAGTGTGTGTGTGCATGTATATATATATGTATGAACATACATATATATATTCATTTTTCTTTTTTTTTTAGTGTTTTTATTGATTTTTTTAGAGAGACAGGAAGGTAGAGAAAGAGGGAGAAACATCGATGTGAGAGAGAAACATCTATCAGCAGCCTCCTGCATGCCCCCTACTGGAGATGGCACCCACAACCCAGGCATGTGCCCCAACAGGAATGAAACCGGCACCTCTCAGTCCATGGGACCACACTCAGTCCACTGAGCCACACTGGCCTTGCAAGAGTATATATTTTTAAACTATGCTGCTGCATTATTGACTTTATCTGCTTTTTCCCTAATGAAATATATGTACATGCAAGAAACTATATAGAATGTGTATAATATATACCCAAGTATCTATCAACCAGCTTAAGAAATAGACTAATAATGATACCTTTTTATTTATTTATTTTTATCCCCACCTGAGTGTACTTTTCCATTTAGCTTCAGATAGAGTGGGAGGGAAGGGGAGAGAGAGAGGGAAACATGATGTGAGAGAGACACATTGACTGGCTGCCTCCCACACTACCCTGACCAGGGCCAGGGATGAACCAGGACTGAGGTATATGCCCTTGACCAGAATCAAATCTGTGACTCATTGGGCCATGGGCAGAAGCTCTAACCACTAAGCAAAACCGTCCGGGGCTAATAATGATACCTTTAAAGCCCTCTTATGTCCCGCCTTGATGCCATTTCCTTCCCTCTCCCACAAGGAACCACTATTCTGAATTTTCTATGCATTATTCCTTTGTGTTATAATTTTGCAGCATCTTTTATGTGCCTCATGGTTTTTCTTCTTTTTAAGAATAGTTTACTGCCCTGGCCGGTTTGGCTCAGCGGTTAGAGTGTCCGCCTGCGGTCCAGAGAGACCCGGGTTCGGTTCCCGCTAAGGGCACGTACCTCGGTTGCAGTTTGTCCCCGGCCCTGGTTGGTCGTGGGGGTGGCAGCCACTCGATGTGTCCCTTTCACATCAATGTTTCCCTCTCTCTCTCTTCCTCTCTCTCCCTCCCACTCTGTCTGTACAAAAAATGGAAAAATGTCCTCGGATGAGGATAAAAAAAAAAAGAATAGTTTACTGATTTGTAGAGAGAGAGGAAGGGAGAGGGAGAGAGAAACATTGATGTGAGAGCATAACATCAATCGGCTGCCTCCTGCATGCCCCCTACCGGAGATCGAGCTTGCAACCCGGGCAGGTGCCCAGATTAGGAACTGATGGCAACCTCCTGGTACACAGGATGTGGCAAACCAACTGAGCCACACCAGCCAGGGCTACATATTTTCATTTAAATGAAATAGTACTATATATATCTAGAGAAGTGTTTTCTCAATCAACAGTAAGTTTATGAAATTCATCTGTGAGACTACATGAGGAAATAGTTCATTTAGTTTCATCGATATGTGGTATGATAGTATATGGACCTAATACAATATTTTCTACAGTGAACGTGTTAATTATAAAAATTAATTGAAGTGCTACACACATACAGAAAAGTTCACAAATTCTAAGCATACAGCTCAGGGCATTGTCACAAAGTGAACATTACAAACTAGTTTAAGAAATAGGAAACATGACCAACACCCAGAAACCATTCTTGAGTTCCCTTCCCTGTCCTCCCAAAGGTCACCACTATCCTCATTTTTAATTCAGAGATAAGAAATGTTTTTGACTTTATGTAAATGAAGCTAGACAGAATATAATCTTCTGAATTTTGGCTTCGTTTCCTCAATATTATATGTGTAAGATTCATCCCTTTTACCTGTAGCTAGAGTTGGTTCATTTTCATTGCTGTGTAGTATTCTCATATATAATATGCCATAATTTATCCATTTTTTGGTTAATGAACATTTGAAAACATCCAGTTTTTAACTGTTAAAAATAATGCATCTGTGAGCATATGTATGTGTACATTTCTCTTGGGTACATATCTAGGGATGGAATTGCTCAGTCATAGGGTGGATATACCATCTTCTTTTTTCATTCTTTTGATGGATGATTGTGTTGTGCTGCTATGAACATTTTTATATGTGTGTCATGGTCCAAAACCATAATAGGAATTCAATAGAATACATACACAGGAATGAAATTGATGAGTCAGACATGTATATATCTTCAAATTTACCAGGTAATGGAAAAATTGTTTCCCAGAGTTGTTTTACCAGTTTACAGTCTCAACAACAGAGTATCCATTCCTTGCTCCACCTTCTTGCCAAGGTTTTATATGACTTTAAATTTTTTCTAGTCTGGAAAGTGTGTCATGGTTTATTGTGTTTTTAATTTCATGTTTTTGATTACTAATGAGATAGACATTTTTGTTTATTGGCCATTTTGATTTTTAAAATTTAATCTTTTCTGCTTATTTTTTAGTGTGGAGATGTACTTTCCTCAAAGTGACTCTTGGATTGGTTTGGCACCCCTAAACATTCCTCGCTATGAATTTGGAATATGTGTTTTAGACCAAAAAGTGTATGTTATAGGTGGTATCGAAACTGATGTGCGTCCTGATTTCACTATCAGAAAACATGAAAATTCAGTAGAATGCTGGAATCCTGATACAAATACCTGGACTTCTCTGGAGAGAATGAATGAGCACCGAAGTACCTTTGGAGTAGTAGTACTTGCAGGAGAACTTTACGCTTTAGGTGGTTATGATGGACAGTCTTATTTACAGTCTGTAGAGAAGTATATTCCAAAATTGAGCAAATGGGAACCTGTGGCACCAATGACTACAACACGAAGCTGTTTTGCTGCAGCTGTGCTGGATGGAATGATATATGCCATTGGTGGGTATGGTCCCGCCCACATGAACAGGTATTTCACTTAATCAAGCTGTAGATTTTTAAAGTATTATTAACAATGATTTCTTCTTTTTAGACAATGTGCATGTTTAAAATAACTTCCCTTTTTAATTTTTAAAGTAATTGGTAGACATTTTGGAAATTTAATCTGCTCTGTGAGTGTAATTGTAATTGTTTTACATGGGGATTTAATACAAACCTAAGAATCAAATACCTCATTAAATTTTACATTCAATCAATATAAATGGGTAGATTTTAAAATTCAGAAATCTAAAAATAACTTAGATAACTTTAGATTTGGGGTGGTGTGTGTGTGTGTGTGTGTAAATAGCCTGTTATTGCATTGCTTAATAGAATAAACATGTAATTCCTACATGCTTACACAATATTATAATTTATCATAAACTTAAATCCTTATATTCTGGATTCTTACTCTATAATCATATATGTTATGTATCTTGAGTGACGCTAGAGTCTGAATTTGAGATTTCTGTATTTTGTATTCTCTCAATAAAGGAGAAACATACTTGAGGAAAGTAAAAGCATGATGTGACTGCTTATATGGAAAATTAATCATAATTTAAAAAAAGAAAATTAATCATAATTTTGAATCTTTGTTGAAAATTGATGTTCCAAACATTTTATCTCTAATACTAATTACAGTAGTGTGTGTTTTATTTATTGTGAGCATTTTAATGAAAGAATATATTGTGGTTTGTTACCTGACTGAGGAGTTAATAGCACTACAGCATCTCATCTATGCATTTGTATGTATTTCTGTGTTAGGTAAAGTATTTCCTTTTTTTATTGTTCCCTTAGTTGGAGGAACAATATTTGGGTCCCAGCATACATTTCTGTTCCTTTGAAAAGTTGCTGGCAGAGACTTTAGATACAAGGTTAAGTATTTTAGTTTTGAGATAACACTCTGGAATTTTAAGTTTTTGCTATAGTTTATCGATTCTTGTCCAGTGGTTTTGCTCTAATGGTTTATTTTTTTTATTTATTGATTTTAGAGAGAGAGGAAGTGAGAGAGAGGCAGAAACATCGATGAGAGAGAACATCAGTTGGCTGCCTCCTGCATGCCCCCCACTGGGGATCAGGCCCACAACTTGGGTGTGTGTCCTGACCAGGAATTGAACTGGTGACCTCTTGGTACATGGGTCGACGCTCAGCCACTGAGCCACACCGGCCGGGTATTTTTGTGCTAATGGTTTTTATTGTCGTGTCCTTTCAGAAACAGTTACAGTTTAGTCTATATTCTAATCTAGTCTACAGTCGAGTCTCTATCCAGAATTATGTCACTGACTCTCAAATACTTTAGGATTTCCTGAGAAGTTCGGTTACGAGCAGAACAAGCTTAATAAGCTTGCCTTTGTGCTTCTTCAAGGAAAAGCATAGTCTACAAGGCCTACTGCAATTTTTTAGGCAGTGTTTTTGGAAATTCTGATTTGATTCAGATTTTCGTAATACAGCTAGAAAATGCCAAGTGTTCTCTAGAATGCTGATTTGACTTAAATCCCTGAAGTCTCCTGAAACACTCTGAGATTATTATGATTAGCCAGTTTGTGTTATGAAATCTGCAGTGTTTGCTTTGCGGTAAACCACCATGAAAATTCTCCTGTAAGAAAAGAAATCCCTCTTTTTTTCTTCTCTCCCCTTGAGAAAACTCTCAGTATCCCTAGAATACATCTATATTCAGTTTGTGATTTCCAAAGTCCTTTCTCATGAATACTCATTGGACATTTTTCTTGCATGGATCCTTTGAGGTTGTATTATTGCCATTTTTGCAGGTGAGAGGAAATGTGACACATCCAGGATCACACAAATCCAAAGTGGTAGGACTGGGGTGCATTCAGCTCTAGATATGCTGCACCAGCACTCGAACTCAGGTTTTCTGACTTCAGAAGTTCTATAACCATAACATACCTCGCTGCTGACACAATATAATGCGATAGCATGTGGCTGTGTTTGCACCTGGTCCACAATGTAAGCTTTTATTCCTGCACTCTCATCAGTGAAATAAACACATTTGGGACAAACAACTCTAGTTTTATGTCTGTCTATTTTATTTATGAAACTTTTTAAAGTTCAAATGGTGGAGTTTACTTTTGCTTTAGTAGGAATAGTGACACGAAGAATATGTGAATTAATTCTTTCTTTTGTGAATATTTGCAGTGTGGAGCGTTATGATCCAAGTAAGGACTCCTGGGAGATGGTTGCATCTATGGCAGATAAAAGGATTCACTTTGGTGTGGGTGTTATGCTGGGCTTTATTTTTGTGGTAGGTGGACATAATGGTGTCTCACACTTGTCAAGCATTGAAAGATATGACCCTCATCAGAATCAGTGGACTGTGTGTAGACCAATGAAAGAACCCAGAACAGGTAATAATAACTTTTAATTTCTAACATATAGGACCGTATTATTATAGTGATTTCTTGGAGTAGTAGTTCTTTGGAATATAATAGTAAAGAATATTACTTGTTCAGAAAAAAAAAAATTTTGTGGTAAACTTTAGAGACAGCTAGATTAGACAAAATTACATAGATTTCTTTACTGCAATTTTAATACACCAGTATGCACATTATCATGTCTTGAACTTGGAGAACACATTTTGAAAAATGCTGGTAACAGTGTATCTTTATTTATTTATTTTTTTTTAATCCTCACCCGAGGATATTTTTCCATTTTTTGTACAGATAGAGTGGGAGGGAGAGAGAGAGAAACATCGATGTGAAGGGACACATCGAGTGGCTGCCACCCGCATGGCCAACCAGGGCCGGGGACAAACTGCAACCGAGGTACGTGCCCTTAGCGGGAACCGAACCCGGGTCTCTCCGGACCGCAGGCCGACGCTCTAACCGCTGAGCCAAACTGGCCAGGGCAACAGTGTATCTTTATAGAAACTCTTGTCCACATAACAAGTGTCACCTTTTTATATGTTACATACACACACACACACAGAATCCTTGGATGTTCTGTTTTGTTTTTATTGCACATCAGCAGTCTGTAGGTTCATTTTAATGTTCTCTTCTCCTCGAGGGGTATAATTGACCAAGAAAAGGTTGAAATTCAGGGTTCCTGGAGAAAAACAAATACATCAAGGGACAAAAATCTTTGAGTCCGACTAAAGAACATTATAAGGGGAAAGTTATAAGTTACTGTTGGACTACGTTAGAGTAGTCTTTGCCTTTGTGACTTAAGAAACTCATGAAACAAACATGCAAAGGAAACTGAAAGGAACAAATGGAATGAACTATTTCAGTTGCTACTAGAATTAGTTTCTGTGGTGTCATTGAGAGAGCAAGCCATAGAAAAATGAGAATGTAAAAAATGTAGGTAGCCTTGTTCTTTTTAGAACTATAATATATTAAGTAAAATTTTCAGAGCATAAATTATGTAGCTCTATAGATATTTTAAATATTTCAGTATACAAGTTCCCCTGCTACTCGAACAAAGAACATTCCCGTGAAACCCTCTCTAACAAAATGGCTGAAGCCTAGAAGCAATTGCCTTAGGACACATCTTTTTAATGGATGCCCAAAATAAACTGAGATAAAGCAAAGATGCTCACAGACCAAGTTCAGAGCTCTGGTGGCTTGATGTGGAGAGGCTGAGTTCCCAGGAAAGGAGCTCATGGTGCCATTTTCCCTGCTTGGGGTGCATGCTGCCTCTGTAACCATTTGCTGCAAAACAAATGCTGAATGCTAGTTTCACTTTTTGCCATTTTGTGTAAAAAGGAAAATCGTTTTGATTTCTTTACATCAATGAAACAGGTACAGTTGACCCATGAACAACATGAGTTTGAACGCTTGAGTCCACATATACATTTTTTTCCCCAAAAAAATACTATATATATTTTTTTTCTATTCATTATGATTTTAACTTTTTTCCTCTAAGTTACTTCATTATAAGAATACAGTATATAATACATGTAATTACAAATTATGTGTTCATTAACTGTTTATGTTATCAGTAAGGCTTCCAGTCAATAGTAGGCTATATTAAGTTTTTGGGGAGTCAAAAGATCTCCTCGGATTTTTTTTTTTTTTTTTTTTATCCTTACCCGAGCACATTTTTTTTCCATTTTTTGCTTAGATAGAGTGGGGAGAGGAGAGAAAGAGAGAAAGAAACATCGATGTGAAAGGGACACATCGAATGGTTGCCACCCAGGGTCAGGGACAAACTGCAATCAAGGTACGTGCCCTTAGCGGGAACCGAACCCGGGCCTCTCTGGACTACAGGTGGACGCTCTAACCGCTGAGCCAAACTGGCCAGGGCTCTCCTCGGATTTTTTAACGTGGAGGTGTTGGTGCCTTTAACCCCTGCATTGTTCAAAGTTCAGCTTTAATGTAGGACTTTTGTAAAAGCAAAATGGTGTAATGTAAACTTTCAAAATCCTGATAAAAATGATTTTTTTTCCCTTATTGATTTGAAAGAGAGGAAGTGAGAGGGAGAGAGAGATAGAAACATTGTTGAGAGAGAACATCGATTGGCTGCCTCCTGCACGCCCGCCACTGGGGATTTGGCCCACAACCTGGGCATGTGTCCTGACCGGGAATTGAACCAGTGAACTCTTGGTGCACAGTCGACGCTCAACCAGTGAACCACACCAGCTGGGCGAAAAAAGATTTCTTTAAAAGTATATGTAATTACGAATTGAGAAGAAAGCATATGGAAAGATATATACTGCATTCTTCTTTTTCATGTTCATTCCTATTCATTAAAAATATGTTGCCAACATTTTGATTCATAAATAGTCAAGGTGGGTAGTGTATTTTTTTTTTTTCCACTTATCTTCAGATAGAGTTGGGGTGGGGGGAGAGAGAGAGAGACATCGATATGAAAGAGACACATTGATTGGTTGCCTCCCACACGGCCCTGACTAGGCCCAGGAATGAACTGCGACCTAGGTTCGTGTTCTTGACTGGAATCAAACCCACAGCTCTTCAGTCCACTCTAACCACGGAGCCAAACTGGCCAGGGCCTTTGTAAAAAACTCATCCAAGCCTTTACTAAGTACCCACCATATGCACAATCCTGTGCAAAATATTAAAGGATTACAAAGATGAATTTAAATATGGTGCCAACTCAAGGAGTTTGCAATCTAATGATAATGACAAATAGTTGAACACAAACTGCAGGAAAGGAATGACTGCATTTTTATATTAATTCTTTTTTTATCCTCACCCAAGGACATTTTTTGCATTTATCTTCTGATAGAGCGGGAAGGAGAGAGGGAGAAAGAGAGAGAAACATCGATGTGAGAGAGACACATTGACTGGTTGCCACCCACATGACCCCAACCAGGGCCGGGGACAAACCTCAACTGAGGTACGTGCCCTTAGCGGAAACCGAACCTGGGTCTCTCTGGTCTGCAGGCTGATACTCTAGCCGCTGAGCCAAACTGGCCAGGGCACTGCATTTTTAATAGTATTTTTCTGTGGTGCAGGAGAGGGAGGATAAGATTGGAGAGCAGAGGTGAACAACGTCTTCAACTCTTACTTTACTTTTATACTCAGGGATATTTTCCCTTTGAGCTCATATTACTATATTGCTTATATAATTAATACTAGATTGTTGAAATGTATTTCAAGACAACATTGAAATACAAATTCATTTTTTTCCTGAGGAGTCTTACTAGATGGTTAATGTTTTCCCCTCATTTTTATTCATCTTTCCTAGGAGTTGGTGCTGCAGTAATTGATAACTACCTTTATGTAGTCGGTGGTCACTCAGGGTCTTCCTATCTGAACACCGTGCAGAAATATGACCCTATCTCAGACACATGGCTGGATTCGGCTGGCATGATATACTGTCGCTGCAATTTTGGACTAACTGCACTTTGACAAGTGTGGACTCAAGGAAATAGTGAGGTGATGAACCTCGTGCCGTATGAAAGGATGTCAAATTTTCTAAAACCCTAAAGCTGCATTGCTTTCTTTTGAACTTGAAATGACATGAAAACTCAATGTTTTGTTGGGTACTTTGAAATGACAAGTAGCTTTGGTTGTTCTTGATTACACAGTGAATCGATAATCAAGAAGGAAAGATCTTGCCAGTTGGGCACTTTTTTCCCTTCTAATTCTGGCATAAAGGACTTTTATGTTCATAAGTGTACACGTGAAGAAAACCTTGCTGTTTTAAAATGTTGGCTTCCTTCCTCCTTGATATGCACCATATTTACTGGGATGAATGATGCGACGTTTGGATGCTGGAGTGTAGTGAATGACTGAACACAGTGCTGACACTTGGATGTAAATGCATATGCTTCACATTTTAAATAAAGGGCCGTGCGCTTTTTTGGGGGTATTTCTAAGGGGTATAAATTATATGCCATAGTGAGTCAGCTGGACATTCTTCCTGTTAAATGGCTTTAGGGCTGGGGATGTAATAACTTTGCAAGACAAATGCTTTTACTGTCATAATATTTGCAGGCCTAGTTAAGGAAGTCATATTTGCTGTTTATATCTTTTTTAGATGGCAGGTCAGTGCTGGATGATATCTTCTCCAGCAATGCTATGCTAAGCATGGATAGAGTTAAGCATATCAGTTTCTTTTTTGTCGTAGTACATCAAGCTACCCAGTGTTGATGTAAATAATTGAGAAATGTTTAGTATCACTCTTAGTGCATATTGCTTTTTTCATATATCCTTATAATAAGTTGTGTTTAAGACATCTGTTTGCTTTTTCAAAGTGTTCAGATATAAAAATGGTGCTAACTGTAGGCGTTCTAACAAGGATACTATGGCAATGTTCTTTTGGTTGTTCAGTATGAGATATGCATGACATGTTTTGAGAGTATTTTTTTTTTACTGGCTTGATTTATTTCTTCTTATTAAAAATGTTAGTGAGTATACCAGTGTTAACATCAAAAAATCCAAATGCTTATGTTTTGCTTTCCATGGTTCCTGAATAGTGATTTAAAGATACATTTTTAAATTTTCTTTCTTCTTGTGCTAGATATTACATCCTTCTTAAAACAAATATATGCATTAAATATAAAGTACTCCGCAGTTATACATTACTCTGTACATTTCTTAGGTAACTGAATATTTTAAAGTTATTGAGGAAAACTGGAAATTCGGTGTTTACTTGAGCAATAGTTCTAAATTTGGTTCTACTTTGACAAAAGATAATATTTTTTAAGAATATGTTTTTATTGATTTTTAATTTTTTTACTTAAAATTGCTTAAAACAACCATTTTATTTGCTGTGAAGCAGCTATTTGGGTTGGGTTCAGTTAGTGGTTCTTTTGCTGGTCTTGCCCGGGTGACTCGTGTAGCTCGAGTCAGCTGGTAGATTGCCTGGAACCTGTGGTTTAGGGGCCTCAGCTGGGACAGCCTGTCTCTGCTCCATGAGGTCTCACCCTCTGTACACTGGTCCAGGCTTCTGCAGGTGACTGTGGTTGCTCAAGGGAACCCAGGTGACACAAAAGAACCACCCAGCTGATCTGCACATATATGCAAGGTAATAGGTGCTTTGGGCCATCCAAAGGAAGAACTTTCTATCAAATGGAAATAAATCCATCTATTTATATAGTGTTGGAAGGTGATCACTGACCTCTTTTTAGGAATACTGCAAAGTTGACTTGCAGTGCAGAAGAGAGCTAGACTCTAACCTATAAGCCTCATCCAATGGCAAAAATTCTAGTTCTATAATACTATGTGCAGGCCAGGCCAGCTATTTCAGAAAAGTACTGATAAGACCTAATCCTTTTGAATGCAGAAAAGGTGACAAACCACACAGCTTGTCACCTCAAAGGGGTCAGAATATGACCAGCAAAAATACCTACAAAATACTTCTGTTTTTATTGATTGTTTAAGGAGAGAGGAAGGGAGAGAGACATAGAAACATCTATGTGAGAAACATCAATTGGCTGCCTCCTGCAGAACTCCTACTGGGTACTGAGCCAGCAACCCAGGCTTGTGCCCTGATTAGTAATGGAACCCAGACCTCTCAGTGCATGGGACAGCGCTCAATCCACGGAGCCACGCAGGCCAGGCAAAGACATGATCTTTAAAGCAAAATTATTTGCTGTTGCCAAGTGACAGCTTATTTAAAAGAAGTGGTGGACTCACTTTGTTTTAGCAGGTTTGAGTAAATGTCTACTAGACTTGAGCACCTTACCTTACATTTTATTAGGATGTCGGTACTTTTATTTATGTTACTGTAGTCATTTTATTTTATCTTATTTTTCATGATTTTTTAAACTTGCCCACCATCTCTTTATAGTCACTGCAAAACCAGTGTATATTTGTAAGAAAAATTCATACTGCATTCTTAAGTGCCATAAAAGATCTAAACTGTTGTTAAGAAGCCATTAGTAATTATAAAACCTACATTAATTTGATAGCATACATGTTATGTCTTGAAACTGCAGCTGGGCAATTTGCTGTTTTCCTTGTTCTTCTGTAAACTGCCAGTTGTAGACTTAAATATATACTAACAAACTATGTAAAAATCACCTTTAAACATAAGTAGTATCATGCTTTATGAATATTTGCACAGATTATAAAACCTTGCAAGTGATTTTTAGTTTCTTCTAATTAAGAACTCAACAGGAGCTACTAATGAACTTGACAGCCTGAATAGTTTGTATGTTGCTTATTTAACGATATATAGCAATAACTTTAATTAATTTGAATATTGAATAGAAACAAGGTGCACTATTGTGTTTGGCCTAGACTTTAAAGAAAAGCAAATTAAAATAGTTTTCATCACATGCTTAATTTAAAATTTCCCAATTTAATGTTCTATTTATATCAATAAAGTTGTTAAATACATCCTGTTATTCCATATTTAATCCTTCCTCTCCACAAGGAAATTTGAAAGACTAGAAAATTATTTTAATTGTGAACAGAGCTATACTATACATTTTATTTTAATAGTGTTTTAGGCAATGTATTATTGCCACTATCAAATTAGTGTAAAAGATGTAAATCATTTGGTAAATTCGATCCAAGACATCTATTGATTATTGATTTGGAGAAATTTTAATTTCATGTTGAAGAAGACTAAATGTGAAATATTTTGGGCAATAATAGGAGCCATATACCAGAGGAAAAAATTATGAAAACCTGTAGAGGAGGAGAAAAAAAACAAATTTAGAAATATTTATTTCAGATTTGCTAAGCCTACTGTACCATTCCTAATAACTAGGTATTAATGTGACCTGACAGCTAAGAAGTTTACAATACAACCTTCTTGTACAAATTTGTGAGGAGTGTCATTATGCAGATTCTGCTGACAAATTGTAAATTTAAAGCCACATGTTTCTTATGTTAAAAAGGATAAAGATATTTGATTATAAATTCCCACGATTAACAAAGTTAGAAGAAATGTTGTATATTCAAGGAGAAGACAGCTATTTAAGATTGCCCCAAAAATATATTTTTTAAAAGTGATAGTGAGAAATAGAGATTGTCTAATCATTTGGAAGATAATTGCCTTTTGTAATTATTTTAAGGTATAATCACTTAGGAATGTTTGACTATTTAATATTTGTTGAATATAGTAATAGAACTTAAGTGAATTTTAATGTAGGCCAGAGGATATTTATTTAAGTTCTATGTTATTTCTAATACTTTTTTAGATATGAGTGAATATAAAATGATAGGAAGTGATATCAAGTGATAGGAAAATGGCATTCATTAGATTTTGAAACTTAATTTTGATAGCTTGATAGATATGGAGGGTCTACGGTTTTGTATGAGATATTGTGCTAGATGCTAAAGAGGGTAGAAATATAAATAAAATGCAGTCTTTTCATTGAAAGAATAAAATATAGTGAGGGACACCTACACCCAAATAACTATTGTGGTAAAGTGTGAATCTAATTTCTTATCTCCAACATCAGAAGAAGTAATCAAAGACCCAGTTTATGTATAAACATTTGTATCCTTTTGTATTCAGTTAGGTTTTATTGGCATGAAAGAAAATTATGAAAAAACCTAATGTCAATAGAATTCCAAATTTCCCAGAATTTGATGGTATATTATCTAGTTGAAAAACAGAATTATAGAAGCTTAAAAAAATACTAAGTACATAATCAAGGCTGTGGCTGACATTGATGAAAAGAGATGCACATATGATGCTCTGTTCGTTTTCAGTTTGGGTGTTGAATTTCTAGTATCGTCACCTAAGTGCTCATTTTCGGGAAAATCAGATTCCACAATAAATGTACTGCTTAAAGTTCAATCAACTTGTGATCATCTGTATAACCTCTGTAGTCTGAAATTAAGAAATTATAAGATGTCACATGTCAAGTTAACATCCAGTTCTTCCTTTTAACCTTTTTTTCTTTGTAAAACAGCACTTTAAATTAGACATGATTTAATTAGATCCAATTATTCTGTGGCTGGATATATACTGGATTTTCACTTACACTATGTTGATTCATGTATCAATGTTGATACATATTTGAAAAGAGTGAGGAATACAGGAAGTTTTAAATACCATAGGTTTACAAGTTTTGTTATTGGTCTGAATATGTGGTCAAAATAAAAATCCAGTTTACATTTCTGCAGAGAGAAAAATTGTTATCCATGTGTCTTTCATATTTCACATATTTAACTAGAGGTAATTTATTGTTCCTTTTGTCAAGTTATGTGTAAGTCCCATTTATTTTAAAATATGAAGCAAAAAGTTCCAAGTTTGCCTTAAAATACAAGTGAAATTAAAGAACTGGATAATAATACCTATATTTTTGCCTTATGAATTGTGCTGTACCATAAACCAGAGATGGTTTTGATTTTAACAGGATTTTGAAATTTTGTAGATGTAGAGTACTAGTATATGTACTCTCTTGTAAAGAATGTGATCTAGTGTGGATTATGTTAATATTTAAATGTTTTTGTATATGTATTTTACCTCTGAATAGGTATCTTTTTAGCATCAGGGTTTCATTTTACTTTTGTTTACATAGTTAAAGTGGCATTTAACCTGTTGAAGGTTGTGTTCTTTTGTCCTTTATTTTAAAATTCTTTGTATGTACTATTGTGGTAATGCTCTGTAATGACTGGTTAACTTTCATTTAATGTGAAGTGTTTAGAATAAATTTGAGAAACATGACTTCCTTTGTGTCAATTGTTGTGGACTGACTTAAGCAAATTCTGTCATGCTTAAATTTTTGGTTCTTCTTGGTAGATAGGTAGTGGCCACAAAAGTTGAGGTGGGTGTAGGTAGCCATACATTCACAGGCTTATTAAAGAAACATTGGTAAGAAAGTAGGCCCAAGTGTTCAGTGGGTAAGTTCAGTACAGTCCCAGCTTTCTAGTCTTTAGATTCTCTAACCAGTCTTTAAGAAAGGTGTGCTTGAGGCAGACAAGGTAACATTCCAGAGGATTTTGTTACCTTTGTGACCAGCAGCAGGTAACCAGCAGCCCTGCTTAAGGAAGGGCTATAAACAGCAGCTCCAGGTGCCAGCTTTAAGGATGTTGGACACAAGCTTGAATGGATCCAGATAACCTGTCCACGCAAGAATCGGAAATCTCTCATATTTTTAGATAATCAACAGTCTTGGATTTTAATGGTTTTCCTTAGCTTACAAATCGTGGTTTCTATCAACATTAACAATACCTACCTATTTGATTTATCATAAACATTTATAGTGTCAAAATAATATGATATAAATAACAATGAATGCAGTTAAGATGCCTTTATAATTCATTTTTGTCCTTAGAATATATTTCACATGAATAAACAAAAATGCTCCTTTTAGAGTCAAACTGAGTACTTTTTTTATTTGCTCAAAACATCATTGCTGTACATTTACTATACACATTGGTTATTTTAACTCATATTTTAATTTCTAGGGATATACTTTTAATTTTTAAAACATTTTTATTGATTTTAGAGAGATAGGAAGGGGCAGTGAGAGAGAGAGAGAGAAACATCAACGAGACTGGCCAGGCTACTTTTATTTTTAAATTATATAAAATATTTATTTGACCCTAAAGTTGAAACTATATGAGAATACATTAAGTTTTGTCTAAATTTCCATGTCTTCCACTCTAATTTTATTCTCTTGTAGGTAAATATATTTATTAGATGTTTCTTCCGTTGTTTCATTTTGAAAATATGACTACATCCCTTTCCCCATTATCTTAAAAAATACATAGTATACTGTAAAAACACTGCTCAACTTTTTTCACTTATACATTCAGAGGATTATTCCATATCAATACATGGAGATAAATTCTTATTCTTTTCTGCAGTTATATATAGTACGTTGCTATATGTATATACAAGACATAGGAACTTTAAGCAGTTTGCTGATGGACATTTAGGTTATTTTCAGACTTTTTCATTTACAAATAATGTTGCAATGAATAGCCTTGTGCATTTGTCATTTTTTTTCTGACATAGGTTTTAAGAAGTGGAATTTTTGTGTGGAAAGGTAGATGATATGTAATTTGCTAGATCTTGCCTGTTGCAGGTAGTTTTGGCTGCTGTAATAAAATACCAATATTATTGAGACGAGGGAAAATCTGAATAAGATCCAAGATTAGATATTAATACTGAACCAATTTTAATTCCCTGGTTTTAATAATTATACTATAGTTATGTAAGATAGTTCTTTTTTCTGAGGAAATGCACAATAAAGTATTTAGGAGTAAAGAGTCATCATGTCTGCAACTTATAAATGGTTGAAATATTACATATAACAAACCGACATTTATATGTATCTAGGTAATAGAGAAGAAGGGAGAAAAGATAAAGCAAATATAGTAAAATGTTAACATTTGGGGAATAGTTTCCAGGAATTCTTGTAACTTTTCTATAAAGTTGAACCTGCCTAGACAGAATATTTCTAAAAGAAAAATGAGTTTAAAGATGATTTTAACAAATTATAACCCATTGAATAAAATAAACCATGAATCCAGATTGATAAATGAATA